ATACACTAATGAAAACATACCAGTAGTTACGCATATATTCAATATCAGCCAACTGATCCTCATACATGGGTAATACTGGACCTTTAAGTTTCATTGACAGTTATTTAACAGCAAACGAAAAAAACAAAATAGAAGCAAAGATCTCTCAGGTCGTTTGTTGTGGTTATGGAAAGTTAAAGGTAACTGTGGTAATATTATTGAAATTGTATCTGTAATTTGTTACAGTACTCTTCACTGGGGGAAGTATTATCAATACTTTAATATTATTACTAGTATTGGCCATGTCCCATCTGCTACGTGTAGGGGGGAGGGTTTATGTGCGTTGTCTTGTCAATCTATGGTTTGGCCCCACACTGCAAGGGGATTAATCATTTTTATTGACCAATCTGTGTTTCATTTTTTGTTTATTTATTTTCTTTGAGCACAACAACCCTTTTTCTAATAAAGGCTGGGTTATCTCTGTAGTTAAGGTAAATAAAGTATGGTTATTACATTTGTTTGAGAATGTATTTTCAGAAATGATTTATTTGTAGTCCATTGATTCTGCACATTACAAGACCTTGTTCAGAGAGCTTGTACGAAACACATCCTCCGACAAAGATCTTTACAGACAGCAGGAGTCAATGTTGCGACTGTGATATTCGATTTTAATTAATCGTGCAGCCCTGCCTTGCAGACAATGACGGAGGACAAATACGAGGTGCAGTCGTGCGTGCCTGAGGCCGCCATCCGGGTCTGCAGCACCAAAGACCCCCAACTCACGTTGAAGATCACCCTCTCCTCCTTAGCCATGAGGGAGGAACACAGCACCACAGAAGAAGGTATTGACTCCTTTCTATCCCACCCCCACTCCTGTGCCTCCTGTTTGGGAGGATGATTACCCCGTTTTTTATTTGACCTTTATATGACAGAGGGCTGGGAGAGAGTCATACTGGAATGTAAAGGTATAAAAGTACTGAGACACCTGAGACACCTTGATATAGGAGATAATCTGGGGAAAATTTGGAAGGATGATACATTCAGAGGACTGAAAGCTGAGAGGCAAACAGGGGGAAAAGGAGAAGGGAAGATATGGATCTGGGTCGAGTGTGGTGGAAATAGCAGATGGCCGGTGCAGGATGATTTCCGCAGGGGATGTGTTGGGTTGGGACCGGCGAAAAAGGAGACGTCTGTCTCAGGTGTCCTCTTGTATCATCCTGCATCTGACAAGAAAGGATTCAGCAATCCAAAAATCTGAGTGGGGAAGTAGTTCCTTTTGGCCGACATGTTAAAAACATATAACTTAAGGCCAGAAATAGATATATTTTAAGGAATTAAAAAAGGAGATGTCAAAACAATTCATCTCAGTAGCTGTTAAAAAATCCTTTCTGTCAGGTGTCTGTAATGTAAGTCATGAGCTGACGTTTAGCATGAGTGCTTCGATTGCGTTTGTTTTCCTTCACGAATGGGAATGAAATTAAAAATGAATGAAAGGCGACACAGTAGTAGAGCTGCCATTATGGAACACCGGGTCTCATTGCGGTCCCGCTCACAGTGAGAAAGATTGAGTCGAGCCATCACCAAAGGTAGAAAAATGGATGTTGCCAAACAGGAGAGAAGCAGAGCTGTTGAGTGCAGAGTCAAAACAAGGAGAAAACCATTTTCCCTTCAGGTTCAACATCCTGTCCACACAAACAAGGACACTGTTGTTGTTGTCACTTAGTAACATAGAAGAATTTCAATACATTATTAAGATTACAACCTTAGGAGTTCCCCTTGATGGTTCCTCCGAAGAATCCACTTATTCAGTTTATGAACTCTCTGCCTAGGGTTTGGGTTCGATAGCCAGTTCCATTTTCCATTTTGGAGGTCCAAGTTGGCAAAATATCTGCATTTGCAATGTTCAGAGGCTAATAAATATCTTACTGAATCTTTTATTTTGTCTCACTGTTTTTAGTAGCAAGGAGAAATTTATTAATATTATATATTTTTTTTTAGTCATCACTAGAGGTCCATCCAAAATGTAACTTGGCTACAGTTGGCTGGTTAACTTTCTCTCTATGAGCTGCTGTCTATACTTACCCAAAGTTTATTTGTTACACACAGAAAGACCACTTTTTAAGACCAATGTTTGACTGTGAAGTGTTTTTGTAGTTCAACAACATCAAGTGGTGAGTGTTTTCTTGTAAGTGCATCAGGTGATCCCATGACATCAGTGTCAGAAGTTACATTTTCCTGTCTATCATATAACAATTACTGCTAAGTTCATGCACACCAGATGCGGTTACTGACCGGTGTGCCTGATAAAAACTTATAAAATATTGCACACTTTACTCATTTTATTAAGAATGTTTCAGTCCTCCTACCTTCATTAGGTTATGTATACAGATGGGTGACAAATTATATGAAAGGAAAACCAACATGAAGTGTCTTATTATGAAGTTAGGCCTCCACGAGCAACCAGAACAGCCTTGACACTCTTTGACAAGTCTGTGGAACTCTTATATACAACCTTTATTTCCTCAGGTAATCAGGTAAAAAGATTCCAATACTAAATAAGAGGCAAAAACTACGGCTACGTTTTAGTGTTTTACTATGAGTTTTATCCCTCAAAAGTCTAATCAGGGACAAGGACCGCAAATAAGCTACAGCTAGAAGTCCTATAAACATTTTATTAATTGCATTTTATTTAAGTAACAAAGCCTGTATGTATCATCAAAATAAAAGATAAAGATAATCTCATTAAGAGTCCTTAAGGTCAAGATTTCTTTTGCTAAAGAGACCAGAGTACAGCAGATAGAAAGAAGGAAAGAAACATAACAGACAGTATGTATCGGAGACAGACACAGACATCATTAAATAGATTTGAAGGTAAAAGTTTATATGATATTGTTTGGTGCTATGTTGGTACAAAATCTTTCATACGTGTTCAAGTGGGTTGAGATCTGGTGACTGTAAAGGCCGTAGCATTTTATTCATTTTCATGCTCATTAAACTATTCAGTGAGCGCTGGTTCATTGAAGCATCAACATTTGATCTGTTTCTCCACTCTTTTATTCAGGTTTTAACTTTGATTTGTCCCCATCTGTATGTGTGTATATTGAACCCAAACCCTCTTTGTGCTATTTCACTTAACATCTCATATTTGAGGTTTCTTCAAGGATTCCATCAAGGAATATTTTTTTTGGTGAGTAACCCGTAACAGTCTAACAAGTTCCCTTTGGCTCTTAGATGAATCCTGAATCTAAATCCTTTAGAGTGTACCTCCTGTAGCTGGCCTCTGCTCACTGACTGTTGGTTTTGTTGCCGTAGCTCCGCAGGTCAGCGCGCTGTGTGGATTGCGACTTCTCTGCGGCCCCGCTGCTGACGAGGCGCCCCCCCCACCCAGCAGCAGGAAACCCCGGGTACAAGGGGCTTCCCCGACAACCAAATCAAACCAACCCACTCACTCTCTGCCTCAGACATGCTCCTCTACCCCCCCTCCCCCCTTCCTCTGTTGACTGGACTTCTCTCTGGGTCACCATGAAATTCTGGTCCATGTCTATTACCGAGCACATAGACTAAAAGTACAAAATGACTACAATAACCAGCAGTCCATGTCCAGATCTATGCTTCTTTGCCCTTCTCTGTTGATCAATTATTATGTTTATTGGCTCAGAATGACATTCCATAATTTCATGTTGTAAAAACGGTGTTAATTGAATTAATCTGATGTCCTGGTCACTAATCAAAATTTCCCGAGCTGATGTCAGGGAGAATTTAGTGGGGGTTGTCCTTATCTGTATGTGGTCTTGACCTGTGAGTGATGGTTCCTTCATGGCCTGCCTCTGGGAAACCGCTTCCACAGTTCATCTGCATACCAGGGAAGAAAAGAAGAGTTAAGGTTATCAATCATGCTAAGATACATGTCTGGAAAGTAAATTAATGCAGAAATACAAAAAAAATCTTTACAAAAAAGCTGGAAAGATCTTGGAAGATCTTTCTTCATTTACAATCAAATCATGTTATTCCTTTTTCAAGTATTTTTAGCCCCACAGAATATTATTTCTATGGAGTCTTGAGTATGCCACTGAAATAACTGTGTTTAGTGACTGAGCTGTTGCTGCTGTGAATTAGACCTAATTTAATTGGCACGCTGCGTACACCTGTTAGATGAAAACTAATCAGAAAATGGAAACTAAATGTCAAAGCGAGATACAAAGTAATTGCAAGATGGAATGTGAAAGCAGACAGTAAATTCAAGTAATCAATTAGTTTAATAGTTGGAAAAATTCAGTCAGCAACAATCATTAATCAGTCATTTACTTTTATATATAATGTGCATTGTGAATGTGATTAAAGTTGAGCATCGCCATGGAAGTCAAGTATTAATACTAAATTGTTTTGACCTATCATGAGGCACTGCAGTAGGTTTCAGGCTGTGTTATAAATCTCTATAATCGCTATAAGCCCTCTGACAAGCAACACCTTCCTCTAAACCTGACCTAACGTAGCTGCCTTCAAAATCCTACTCATGCCCAAGCAAAGAGCAGATGCTCAGCTGTTAAACCATGCCTGTGTAGTGAAGACAAAACAATTGATTTATCAAAAACATAATTGACAGAACAATCAATAATGACGACAAACGTTATTTGCAGCCCTGAAGTATTCAATGTCCAGTGTGTAGGATTTTTAACGTCACCTTGAGGTGTAGTTGCAGATTACAACCCCCTACCCTCATTCAAGGAGTGTAGGAGAAAGTTATGGTGGATGCAAAACTCTACTACTGTAGAAACATCCTGCTCCTTCTAAAGATAACGAAAACATGATAATTCTTATTTTCAGGTGATTATACATACCTAACCTCCTACATATTACACACACATGCTAATTACTGGAGGCTTCTGCCCACGGACCGCTGATGAAAATGAACTTTTAGCTTTATCCAGTGCAATAATTCAATTTAATAATTGATTAAATTCAGCGTTAAAATTAATTAAATGCTGAATGTCTTAATTCATACCCATGGCACACTCAAGACTCCATAGATTACAGAATGGTATTATATAATCACAATTTTAATATACATCTTATTGAAAAGTTGAGTCCAGTCCAGAATTTGAGGTATGAAGGCACAAGAGAAATGCTCAACCTTACATTTTCATGAGTGCATCCTTATACAGCATCAGTCCTTTAACCCTGGCAGGATTACTGCCATTGAAGAACATGATCCCAACAACCACTTCTGTACTTTTTAGTGACCATAGTTTCTTGCCAAAAAGTATTTTTCAGGCAAAAGTAATTTAATTGCTTTTTGTTGGGTTTCACTTCAGTTCCCTGTTTCATTTGTTTTGAGGTCTCCAGGTGCACTGAGCAAGCAAAACTGAGAGAGTGCACATAAAAGTACTGGATTAAAAATGTTTACTCTTCCAGTTTACTTTGACAAATCATGCCATTAGCTGCGGATTGTCTATCTAGTGGTACATTATATTACTCAGAAGTCCCATGGGCAGAACATGAAGGTCCTCAGTCTTTGGTCTTGGAGGAGGAGTGACACAGGAAAAACCCTGTGTCTCTCATCGGCTCCTTCGTTTGTCTTCCACCTCTTCCATCCTGTTCAGCTTTCACTACGGTCTCTACAGCAACAGACTGCTAAACCACACACATCGCTCCTCAGCTCACATTACTGCTGATGAATCACACGCAGACAGATGAATTGGAATTTGAATACTGCGTATATTTGGAATTAGAAGCTACAGTGTAACCCCTCCCTACGAGCGGGAGCTTTTTTTAATGCTGTGTGTCAGCATTACTGTCAGCTTTGTAGAAAATAGCCGTGATTTAATCTCTGGCGGCTATTGCTCATTGGAAGAGATCTTTGAACCATAATGGGACTGATTCCAGCGTGATGGGACATTTATCAAGATTTAATATTTGCAACTTGGCAAGCTGAAGAATGGAGCTAATGTTTCAAGTTGCAGAGAAGTCATTATCTTCGATTTCCTGGATGAGATCATTGATAACGTGTGAACCTTCACTACTGAGCTCTGCAGTGTGGTCTGCAGTCTGTTCCCCCTTTTGTTCGTCTGCTTGACCGTCCCACAGTGGGCACCCCTTAGCTGCTCCCGAGAACAAACAGCCTTCACTTTCTTTCCAGGGTGGCGTTCTCACTCTCAGATGTTTATGTTGTCGTTGTCATCTGCTGTCACTCTTCTTCTGCTGTCGTTCTCCCATGGCTCGGCCTCCAGTCATGGCAGGAGTGCTCCCCACAGGAACCCGGTGTGGAGAGACTGTTTCAGTCAAACATAAACATCTGACCGACCCCGCAAGAGTGAAAATACTAGCATGGCGCCCCAGAAAACTGCAGAGCAAGCTGCCTTTTTAAAGCAGGATGTTTTTTTTTCTTCAAGTAGAATAGCTAATGTGTCTGCAATGTTCCTTGCCTTTCCTCAATCTCAGGCATTCCTGAGCCAGTATTTCAGTCTCCTTGTTCCAAAGTGTTATTTTAATCTTTAATCTGGCTTTTGCTCCTGAGTCGTTGCCATGCTCTCATTTTCGTCCTGCGCCGTAATTGATAACACACTAATCTGGCGTGTTCCATCGCCTTCAGCCACTGATCTGCATCTAGAGTGAGACTCCGGCCGGGCAGCAAGACGCATGCGCTCACGTCTACTCCGGTTCCTACTGTCAATGTTATGAAAGATCCTGCCTTGTGCATGAAAAACCCCCCTCTCCCAGAAAATCACGGAATCTCTCAAATTTCCCCCCCTCCTAGCTCATTTGGTCAGATCAGTGGGTTTGCCTAATAATTAGCCGTCCAACCCTGCTGCCTGTGTGTCTGTGTGTGAGTGTGGGAGGTCAGCGTGGTCACGCTCAGTCTGTCCTGTCTCATCCTGTCCCTCTCTCCAGAGGAGGGCGAACAGGACGACAACAAGGAGAGGCAGGAGAAGGAGGAAGAGGAGGAGGAGGATGTCCTGGACAGGCAGAAGTGCCAGGCTGCACTGGCTTCGCTCCGACACGCCAAATGGTTCCAGGTGAGAACAGCTGGGCTGATGACACAGTCACTCTCAGTGTCTTTACACTCTTATCCTGAATATTCAACCCTGTCTTCAAAAATTACATTTCTATACTTTATTGCCACCTAGATTCTGTTTTTTAATCATAAAAATAAAGACACAATTTTAATAAAGCATAGAGTTCAGGCAGAGTATTACAGCTGCTTTTGTGTCAGCTGATCTGCAGCAGCTGTTTCATTACATGTTTCACAATGATTGGCTCATTCCCAGCTGTTTAGCAGGTAACATCCAATCATATCTTACAGGAGGACACTACTCTGTTAATATACTCATGCCAGCACAGTTTGCTGCCACGGCTCCTTCCACCACCACAAACTCCTTCTTATGTGCTATGTTTTTGGATCTGTTGATTTAACTATGGTTTCATGTTTGTTTATTGGGTTGTCCCAGCAGGATACTTGTTGCCACGAAGATTTAGCAGATAAGTCTGCATTACAATTAGCTAAAAATTCTGACTAAAATGAACGAAAATATTTATCCCTATTGTGTCTCCAAAACATTTGAATTTTTTCTTCCTACAATACGAACTACTTTAAACTCAAGCATGATTAAGTTTTTATGGTTATATTTAGGCACTCAGAGCACTTTGTTAAGGTTAGGAAGAGATTGTGGTGTGAATCCAAACACACTGTATTCAGGATGTGAACCCTGGTCTCTCCGGTATCAAGGTATACCCACCATCCATCTCAACCTTTCCCTAAAACTTCTCCATGGTACAAGCACACAACACATCCTGGACTGGAAGAGACATTGCCACTCAGTCAATTACAGTTCCTCCAAAATGTATTTGACAAAACCTTCTTGATAAGGATGTAACAATAACTTTATTTGATACATTTTCTCAATACTGGATTCATGAGGCTTTACATTTCCTTTTGTGAAGTGAAACTAATTCTTTGTTCCCTGCTACCCTGTTTGATACTAATTGATTAGTTTTTCATCTCACCAACTTCAGTCTTCACATATTTGTATTGCGATTTAACTATCCCACAATATTTCATTACATTCCTACATTTTAGTATCACATAGATGTCATCTTCAGCAGTCACTGTTGGATTAACTTAACTCCACCTGTTTTTATGCAAATTTAAAATTTTGCAAATACAAAAATGCTGGAAATTTGATTCTAAAATTGCAGCAGACATAAGGTGATCGATGAGGAGACTGTACATTTCCTCAAATGAATTAATGAAACACACATAAATGCCATATTTCCAACATTTTCTACATTGTTTTTGTTTGACTGCCGCATCTTGTTGCACCCTCTTCTTCTGCAATGATTTAAAGGGCCAGTGTGTAGGATCCAGCGGCATCTAGAGACAAAGTTGCGTTTGTCCGATCTGGGCTACTGTAGAAACATGGAGTTACATGATTTCTCAATATTACAAGTATCCAGCAATTAAGTGTACACACATCAAAACCACATTAACTGAGTGTAATATGAAACTGTAGAAATTTTCATTTTCAGTAGCCTATAAGTAGAGGAAGAACATGGCATGTAACTCTGTAACTCTGAAGGTCATGAAGAGATTCTTCAACAAATCAGGTTTCAGATGAGCTGCAACTCTGCCGTTCTGACTGAACTAAGAGTTCTTCCACAGGAGGGAGATGAGAGTCAAGGTCAGGTGAAGCAGTGAGCAGCTTCCCACAGGGAGGGAGAGCTGAATGCCAAGTGATATCAGAGTGAAGGCCTGCACTATGGACTGAAGGTGAAGCAGCTCAAGGAGAATTCTGTTTCATTATATTCACACAGGACTAATATGACCCGTGGACCTCCACTGATCTGTTATAACTGCAGATACAATTAGTGGCAATCATCTCATTCACCATCCACCATGTGCCATGTGCAGAACCTTGAGAGGAGTGTTGTAAAAGCCAACAATAACTGGTAAATGAATTCATCATGGACAGAGATTTCAACACATTTTATTATTCCAGGCAGGTGTCCAGTGAAACATTTGTGACATGAGGTCCACCATGTAATACCACTGTCTTTAGAAATGACTATTTCTATTTTTAGGCAAGGCGTGGAGTATTAATATATGTTCAATAAATGTCTAGGATGCTTGAAGAAATTGGCACAGAAGTCTACTTTCTACAGAAAGAGCATTTCACAGTTGAGTGCAGGATTGATCATATGAGCATGATTAGATTTAGTAGGAGACTGTCAAAAATGTTCAGATGTAAAAACGATCATGTGAAATGAAGTAAATAAAGACTTGCAGCAAGTCAGTATCCCTCAAAAATATGATATTATAACTTGAACTATGAATATTCATGCCATCATTTTAGTTAATCAGATCTGAAACCACATTTCTATTTATTTCACATACACAGGGTTTTTCTCAAATTCTTTTGTTTGTTTCTGTTCCTGAAAAATATCGGATGGTAAAAAGGGAACAGCTCAAGGCTGCTGTTGTAAAAAAATGTTTTCCCAAAATTACTTCCTACTAAAATTATCCATTGTAACCTTTTTAATTAAAAAAAATTATAAAACAACAAACCTACAACCAGCATGGTCTGTAAGATAACTATTCTAATAACGGCACACAGTGGTTAGCTGGCAGTAAATATGCTAGCAGATCAGCTCGCTAGCGGGAACACTGGCTCAGCTATCAGGTCATAGCAATGAAAAATTCAAATAGCAAGAACCTGATGTTGGAGTTGTGCTAAGCCAAATGTAACAGACTAACTACGCCATCAAAAGTGTTTGTTGTTCATAGTCTTTATTATTATTCCATATTCTGGTCTTGGTACCATTATTTTATTCTCAAAAGGATAAAGTATCACTTTATCTATTCTAGACTGTGTGTTTACACTCCTCAGAGGCTAAACTTTTGCCACAATGGTCTTAGCACCATATTGACAGGGGTTGTGTGAAAGCCATATTTCAGAGCCTGGAAAGTGTCATGGGCACATATTCTCAGAGTTTGTGCTGCTCATCAAGACTGCTGTCTTGTTGAAATGCACCTCATGCTGTCGCTAAGTTTTGTCTGTCTGTCCCCTCAGGCCAGAGTCACAGATCTCAAATCCTGTGTCATCGTCTTGAGGATTTTCAGAGACATGTGCAACAGACTGCCTGGGTGGCAGCCTCTCAAAGGATGGGTAGGTGACGGCCACAGAATCAGAATGGCTTGTTGTACAGGGAACACATTTTATAGGTTTATGTCTCAGGCTTTAAAACGTTTATTTTCCGGTGTGTATCTGCAGTATGTGTAGTAAACTCTGTCTCAGGAGCAGAATCATGACTGTAATTGATGAGTGTCCTCTCCCTGTCTCTGCAGCCTCTGGAGCTGATCTGTGAAAAGGCCATAGCCACCTGTAACCGCCCACTAGGTCCAGGTGAGGCCCTGCGTCGCGTCATGGAGTGCATCGCCTCAGGGATTCTACTGCCAGGTAGGTGATCAGTCATTCACAGCAACCTCTGTTTGTTGTTTGTATTTACACTATGTCTCCTCTAATCTCTAGGCTACAGATCGCCCAGTGCTAGTTTAACATTGTTTATGAACCCTGGGATTACAGCCTGTATAAAATGCGGTGAACTGACAAGCAAGATTTAGAGCCAGCACCTACACATACAGAATTTATAGAATCATATAAACAGAGGTGTTCAACTGCAGAGATCTTTAAATTGACCTTGTCTGTTCAAGTAGAACATTTTTCATGTTGAAAAAAGATTTGCAGTTATCACAAGCAAGAAAGAGAGGAAAAAGAAACAGAAGTTTGTGATAAGTTTTAAAATCAGTCTGTCTGAACTGTTACTGACAGAATGAAATCACTTTGTTGTAGCAAAACTTTCCACTGTCAGTTTTGGGAACACTGGCGCAGTTGGCCTCTAAGATGTTCTGGCAAATAGTCAGATGAATCAGAAAGTGGGCGCAAGGCGGTCCTCAACATGGAAGGTTAACTTTTGACCTTGAGTGGAAATAATGTTGGGCAGTTCGCCTCCCGAGGAGACAGAGCTGGAGGGCTCTGAGGGAGTTTTCAGCTCTCTGTTGGAACTCACTGAGACCGTAAAAAAGCTTTACATTGGCAGGTCGGGGGCAGTGCCTGGCAGACATGGGTTTATGTTCCCATCTTTGAAAAAGGGAAAGCGCAATTATCAGGGTATTATAGTGCTCAGACTCCATCTCAAAGCTTATTTTAAGGTGTTAGAAAAGAGTGTCTGGCCAAATCAGAAGCATTGTAGATTCTGGTTGTGTAACGGTGGACCAGCCATTTACTCTTGGAAAAGGCTTCTATCCATGATCCTCAGGGGTTCTTGTTTGGAGCACTGTGGGAATACAGGGTGCCAGGTTGCTGCTACCTTTAATAACCAGATTGATTTACATTTTTTTCAGATTTTCAAGGATAGGAGCTGAAGGCAGAGCAGAGTTTTAGTTTGAATCCTAAATTTTGATATGGTGGATCTAATTGGCAGTGGAAATGAAGTATTTCACAGTATTTTCTACTAACAAAGGCTCATGAGGTAAAAAAGATACAGAAACTATTAAATGTTAAAGGTTGCTTTTATGGTGGCAGGACACTGACTCATGGAAATTAGTCTGTTTTTAAACCCTGCATAGTTTTTTTTTAATGTTGTTGTGGAACATGAACATGATTCTCGTGTAGGCAGCATATGTTATGCCCTCTGTTTGATACATGCATTCGATACAGTTTTAATCTTGTAAATGATGAAATTCTGTCTGCCAGAAATTAATATATGTGAGCTGAGTCAGTGGATGAGAGTCGACCATAGTGAATGAATCCAGTAATCAGACTCTGCACAGAAAGCAGCAAAATGAAATTACAAAGTTTGACAGTGAAATTGAAAGCAGCAAGGACACTTGAAGAACAAAGGATTGTGTACAACATATTACTGGATTTCACTGGAAATGTAGGCTTGTAATTTGACCAAGAATTTAAAATGATTATCTGCTGATTGTGATCAGTGCCTATTCCATCAGTGCATCTGTTATAAAATGTATGTTTACTACAATAGCACTTTTCCAAAGGTTTCAACATGCATAGAGCGGCTGCTCCAATACTTTGGGTTATGACTAAATACCTGCAAAACAAATAACATAATAACAATAATAATGGCATTACCATCCATCTCAGCTGTACTTATTTAATGCTAATCAGCAAATGTTACTAGGTTAATGCACTAAACAAGATTATGAACTTGGTAAACACTTTACCTGCTAAACATTAACATGTTAACATTGTCATTGTGAGCTTGTTAGCATGCAATACAATACAGAAGCTCCAACTTAAAAAAAAAAGCTTTCTCTCACTCGAGGGCAACATCAGGCAACTCTGCTCCACTTTCTCTCTGCACTGCTTATGTGCACTGATAAATAAAAAAGCATCTTTGTAATGTTTAAAAAAGAAATCTGCCCAGGGATTGAAAACAAGGTTTTTTAAACGCTGTGGGCGGACAAATAAACTAAGAACCAACATGCACAGAAATTGTGTTTTTATTCTCAAGAGAAACATTTAGAAAAACCTTGAATGAATATGTTTTAGGATAACCCCCAGTGTTTGGCGGCAGCCTCTTTACACAAAGGATGTCCTAAAGATTCATGGCTTGGATAGCAGACTGCGAGTGTCAACAATGATGCAGTGTAGTATCACCTACACCTTCCATCTTATAGTATTTTACTCTGCATTAATGGTTTCTAAATTGGTGTGCAGATTCCCTTCAGGCTGTTTGAGAGAGTCTCTGCAGATTCACAGCAATATGAATGATGGTTTAATTTAACTTTTACTTGTATTTAGTATGAGGTGATGGAGTATACAGTGTTTTGGAAAGATTTATACAACTTTCACAGGAAATTGTTTTCCAAATCATGCAAATCAACATTTATTCTCTGATATTTAGTTTTTATTCTAGAGTAGTCCATGTGAAAAAATAAAAATTCCTGTTCAGCTCTAATAAATACAAAGATGTTCTCTGATTTATTTTCTCACTCTTTTTCTCATTCTTTATCTGGGAAAACCTTCAACTCCCACGTTCGATCAGTGCAGAGCAGCAAGTTAGCCTTTGTGATGATGTGATTGGATTCTTAAAGTGTGGTTCAGGGTTTCCCTGAGGGTTGAAATGGCAGGTTGTTCCCTGAATGCCTCTGAATCATTGACAAGTTACTGCTGCATGAGTGTACATAGTAGGAGTCAGTAAATTATTTCCATGTGTTTTCCTGTCTAATGAAATTAAAATGGGTTCAAAGTGTATGTTGCTGTGTGGAGGCCTCTCCTTTCTGAGTCAGAACCTGGTTTAGAAACACTAACGTGGTTTCCCTTTACAGGAGGTCCAGGAGTTCGTGACCCCTGTGAGAGGGAACCCACAGACGTCCTGTCTGACCTCAGCGCCCAGCAGGCTGACGCCATCACAGACAGCGCACAGGTCAGTCCACTCTGCAGAGCAGCTCACTTTACCCATCAGCCCTTTCTACGTCATGTCTTCTTCTTCTGCAGTGATGAAAGTAAAATGTTACTAACGTTATACAGTGTTTCTAATGATTTGTTTCATTATCAGTTCATTCTTTTCTAAATTCACTGTCACAGTCTGGTTCAGGTAATGTGAAAAGAAGGGAGTGTATGTAAAGGTTATACTGAAGAGTAATTTATTAAAACTCAGGTTAGCTCAAACGTACAATGGGTGGGTTGCTATCAGCGATAAAAGCAGTGTGTGGATGTATGGTTGATGTGCTATGGAGGGTGCTGAAGGTGCAAACAAAAAGAAGGTAATGTAGGGTGGACATCGGTCGTTGGAAGAGAGGCAGGAACAAGCATATGGGCCAATTTATATAGTCCAAGAAAAATTAAATAATCCGTTTTCAGAATAGTTGCTGATCAGATTAATATTATGACATCCAATATGCCCATCTATAAAAAGACTGTTAGTGGAGTGCTTGGTAGCTCACCTGGTAGAGTCCATAGGACCTGAAGAATGTCTTTTCTGTTTTTTTGAGGTTTGATACCCAGCTACTGGTTGTGTTTCTCAGCTTTAGATATGCTATCTCTTGACCATTAGTTGAAGGAATTTGTAAGAACCCACAGTATTTATCTTTTATCTATTACTCTAGTTTAATGTTTAATGTTGATTGTTTAGTGTCTTGCTCAAGGGCACTTTGGCAGTTGCTTTTAAGGAGGATAGGAGAATTCCCCATTCAACATTATCCTGTCTGCTCCAGGAGGATGAACTTTAAAAGCTTCCATTAACAGACTCTTGTCCCTCACCTTTGGGCCACAGCTGCCCAGGCTTTAACTGGTCCCAAAGATGATAAAGTCACCTTAAAGGAACCTTGGACCTTAAGTCCAGGATGAAAAAACATTAAAACAGCTTAATACAAGCACAGATTTGTAAAAACACAGTTACTTTGTGGGAAATCATTTAGGGAATATGAAATTTAAAACTAAGTTGGGGATTTTCAGAGATCATTATGATCCAAACTATAAAAGTGCATTTTAGCAACAGAGCTTTCCCTGGAGGTGAATTGATGCTGTAAAACCTCACGTGTTCTGATTTTAGACATACTCTTTACTTAACTTAGATGATATTAAGTCTTTCATTTGAACTGCTGCTTTATGGATGTTGTCTTAACATCTCCCCCTCTGAGCATTATAAAACTTCTCTTCCTGTTTTCCTGCTCTAAAACCAGCCGCAGACGCTTACTTAACTGAGCCTAATCATCAGCCGGGCTGAGAAAAAAAATCTCATCCTCTGCACCGACTCATGAGACCATGAAACATCCCACGGGGGTGTACTTCCACACCGCCCACTGCGCCAAAGTCAGCATTTCTTCCAGGAAATCGGACGAGTAATGCTCCCCCTTGTTGCACTGATTGAAGGAGGGTTATTTAAAGAAAGTCCTTGGCCACCCCGGTGAAGCCCCAAGCTCACGTCAGCACTATTAATAGCCGAGTGGCCGCAGAAGCCCAGACTCTGACCTCAGATAAGCAGCCCCTCATTGCTGCGGAGGCTCGACTAACTGGCAGCCTAATTAGCTGCTTAATGAGCGTGGGAACACTCTTCCCCGTTTACACCCACACCGACACTACTACTACCACCACTACTGCTGCTATTGCTGCCGCTGCTGCCACTGCACATGGAACAACAAAGTCTGCCCCCGGGTGGAAAATGTGGGCTCAGTGCAGAGAAATATGAAGACATCCTCAAATTCATCTTTTCCTCCCTCTCTCGCTCTCTCCGTTTTTGCCTTCCTGCCAGTCTGGAGAATATTTTTCTTTCTTTTTCTTTTCCTCCTTTGTTTGTTCCCAGTGTTTATTCCTCCCCTCTATAATGCATGAAGTCTTTCCCAACAGAATAAGTTGGTGTACACAAACGTCGGGACGCCTGCACAAGTTTCCCCGATAATTAAAGCGCATTGATCGGAGAATAAATGGTATCGTTGCTGCCTGTTCTCCTCTGAGTGCACAGTTCTGTTGCTTTACCAATACACTGATTTGCCCTTATTCTGTCTGGTGTGTGTGGGTCTGTGTATGTGTGTGTGTGTTTTTCAGCATGCGTTACGCCTCCTAGCCTTTGGACAGCTTTACAAGGTCTTGAATATGGATCCTCTCCCCGCCAGCAAGCCCTCACCAAGGCTGTTAGAAGGTGTGTGTTCAGTTAGTGTGTGGGTGTCAGTTCCTCTGCATGCTCTTTAGTTTGTTTATTTTGTGTGTGCATAATTTCTGTTTTCAACTGTGTGTATCCATGTGTGTCTGTATTTGGTTTCCTATTTTTATCTCCCCACTATATTGTACTTTTCATCTTTCTTTGCCGCCCTGTAAAGCAGCTTGGATAACTCCTCTGTTTATACACATTCTGCATAAAGACAATGACAATAATAATATGTTTAGATGAGCTGTGTGTCCTTTGTCTGTCTGTGAGATGTTTCAGGTGATCAGTCTGTTTGTTTCCGCTCTGCAGGCGGCTGTCAGAAGAGGCTCCGGGAGGACGTCGGATCAGATGACAGAGACTTCATCAAGAGGATGAAAGGTGACTTTAACCATTGATTCGCTTTCAAAATTCAGTTTGCTCGAATGATCTAAATCCTCTTCTTCTTACCTCTCACACTGCATTGGTCTGGTGAAGGTGTATAAATTACGAAAAGCAGACGGATTTATGTGGTAGTTAGGGGCCTTATATTAAATAGGCAGCAAAATAATAATAATTCAATTCAGAATTCAGTTATGTTGAAGATTGATGAAACTTTCTGGATCTGGATTATTCTCATTTCACAATCATCATTCAATTCCTCCCCATGGTGGAGATGGTACAATGTGCTAGTTTCTTTGTTTTCTTTTGGTGAAGTTATGGTGGTGGCTCTTAAATATCTCAATTTACCATTGCACCTACATGTAGTTTGTGTTTTGGGATGGTGGGGAGTACTACACTACACCCATTTAGTGATCCAGTGTCAGTTATCAGGCAGGTAGCGAGGGTTGAGATGATAAAATACGATCAAGCAAGCCCAGTCTAGTCTTCCTTAGATGATCTCATCCTTCCAGGAACGTGTACCAGCACATATTTGATGCAAATTCAGAGTTTTGGATGACGTTGTATTGTGGCAAAGTTTTTTTTGCCCCAACTTTCGAGGAGGTTGAGTAAAAGAACTCAGTGCTCATGTCTGTCTGCAAGCCCGGATGGGCCATAGGGAGCACTGTCAGCCCTCCCGCTTGATGGTATGATCTCTGTTTGTCATCACATATCAAAAATTGAGCACTGTAGGTGAAGGAGAGAATAGGTGGAGCTGAGAGGGAGTGCTTTTAAAAAGCTAAATGCTGCAAAATTACAGAAGTTGTTGATGATCACAAGCAAAAAGACTAGCTAGCAAGGGTTACTCTCAGGCATGTTAATATCGCCAACACCCTTCCAAAGTTGTCACTGAATCATGCTCTGTAGAAAAGCAGGAGATTCGTCTGCATGGAAAATAAAGAGCTGTATACTATTTCTGTCAGGTGGAAGTAGCTGCAATTGTTGTGTGTAGATTGGCCAGGGCTGACGATACCCGGCCTGAATTATTATCCCAGTCCGGCCCTGTCAGTTTGAACAATGACTCAGTTTGTTTCTTAACTCTTTCTTGAAGCTATATCCCAGTTCCTAATGCTTTTTAAGATTCCTCTCCACCATTATGAGACTGAAAACCTTCATTCTGTGATTTTTTCTAAAATGGAAACGGCAACATGTTAGCACAACATATTGGGTGTCAGGCCAATATTAGAAACCTGTATTGGTCAAATGCACATCGTGTGGAGGCTGACTCCCCAGGAGAAAACTGTGTTTGTCACTTAACAGCAGATAAGTGGATATTGATTCATGACTTTGTCGCTTTGTTGTAGCTAATGACAAATATAAAAAGCTCTGGTGTTCACGGTGTGTGTGTGCTGGACAGTTGTAAACTATAGTTTACTGTACACAAGTTGCTTTTTTTTTTTACAGACTTTGTGTAAAAGGTGGAAAAGTGAGTCAGTGGAGCTGAAAGAAGTGAGCAGTGTGGCTGAGGTTTTCTTAGAAATCAGGACATTCTCTGTTTGAGGAGATCAGAACGGCCTGTCAGGTTAAAAAATGGCATCCTGGTGTCAGATGGTATTCCTTTCAATCTCTGTATCAAAAGAAGAAAAAGCCCCCTGACCCTGCCTGAATATGATCCATTGTAGGCTAGTGTTTGAAATTCTGCAGTCATGTCTGATATCTTTACAGAATCGTAATAGAATTCCAGTTTAGTGCATTGAATTGTCATCAGCTCAGCCTGTATCACTGTATCTCAAAGTGGCCTCATTCACCGTATCAGCTAGCTGCATTAAACAGGTTAAATAGAAGTTGAAATTCTTCAAGGAGTTGTTGCGACAGTGGCTTTTAAGTGAAACGTTTCCTCGAAGCAGAAAAAAGTGTGAAGTTATCAGATTTCCAAATAGCTGCAAGTGAGAAGAAAACGGAGGAAGGGAAGCTGCTGGAGCTGAAAGAAGCATTCAGAGAGTTTATCAGGAATCAATCTGCTCCTGTGTTCGGGTTAGAGAAGGTCTGTGTGTCAGTGTCTTAGTGTCAGTGAGATTTTAGTTCAGAACAGTGTTTTTCAACCATTCGGGTCCTCATCAGGACATAACAGAGAGGTTTATTCAGCTCAGTATGCTGTCAAAAAATATTTGAAGGAGGAGAAACAGTATTGAAATAAGATAAGACTTTATTGATCCCTGGGGAGCAAATTCAGATGTTACAGCAGCACTGAGACATGCAAAGAGGTACGAAAACAAATAGCAAACTACAATATACTGTATACATTACAATATATACCAAAAAAACAGATGCATGCCGGTGGTCTAAAAACAACAGTCAGCAGTTGCAGCAGCTCAAACTCCATCAAATCCAAACACAGACATGATACATTTTGTGTAGATTAAGTGTGAGGATATGATAACATCTATCACGAATAAACCAAAAATAAAAGATAAAAGACACTCCTTATAATCGACATTGCCTGAGAATCCTCATGTTTTTAAGTTTTTTTCAGTATCAAAGTAATCCAGAGATAGTTGTCCGTACGTCCATGGGTACATTGCAAACAGGAACTGCCAATAGCTAATTTGGCATACTTTTAATGCTGCCAGCTTGCCAAAATTGTTCAACGGGGGTGTTTGGAGTCAGAAGGGAAACCCTTGCCTTAGACTCTATAAGCGAATTGTGCAAATATTTAGTCCAGTAGTGCACCATGATGTGTGAACCATATACACTACAAGTATGTTGGTATAGGTATAAATTCCAGGTAAAATATACATAATAATATATTTAAGTATATCATGTTATAAAAATATATGTGGCGTATGTGTAATAGAAATGGAGAATACCAGACTGCATATAATATAAACATACATTAAACACATATATAAAACAATATAGTCCCATAATACTGTATTGAGAAGATGCAGGTGTTGTTGTAAAGAAGAGAATATCGAAGGTTAACACTGGTGATGTGTTTTTGCCCAGTGGGCTTGGTTTAGTGATTTGCAGATAAAATATGAGTAAACGAGCTGGTTGAGTTAACGGTTGCTTCAGCCGCGTTTCAGCAGCACCATATTTAATTTGGCAGGTCCTGCTATACGCTGAAGTACAGTTATTGACACTGAAATATTGATGGTACGTCACTTAGATTCTGGAAAACTTTCACTTTAAATTTCACTTCTCTCCTTTTTCCATACAAATCAGCAAAACTGCCTCACTGATTATGATGGAAGTTGCTGCACTATAGGATACTGAAGTGTCACCTAAGCAGTTGTAGCTCTATAGTTCAGACCTAATTGGCCAATCTCACATTAAGTTTTCTTAGTATAAGTTGCGTGGTATGACACTTTAAAGCAGGTTTACCAGACACAAAGTGGAACGGATAAACACTTCCTTTTCATTTTGGTCAGTCTGGCTGTTCACACCAGACGTGGAGCAGAACTGACTCGCAGCCATCTTTTCAGCATCGAGTCTCTTTTTTCCGAGCCGTGAGTGGGACTCTCACAAAGCCCCAGTGGAAATGCTGTAGATGGTCATATTTACATGCATACAGCTATTTATGATTGTGTTGATAAATACATGCACAGCGATGTTCATTTACGTGTAACGTGTAACGTGTACGTTGGTTCAGATTGAGGTCAGCTCACATTCCCACCACAAATAAACCTAAAAGACAAGTAAACATTCCTTCCACTGATGGCTACAGCCCCCATCCTCCTCTCTCTCCTCCTCTCTTCATCTCTCTGTGTCTCCGTCCTGTCTATCGGTGTGACAGTAATTAAATCGGCCCTCACTGGGACGATTGTCCCCGGCAACTCTCATCTGCTTCCAGTTCAAAGGAGGTGATGGGAGGCAGAGATAGAGAGGGATTAATACTGCAGGCTGCTGCCACGCAATTATCTCGCAGCCTCCCACCACACACACACACACACACACACGCACACACACAGTGCATTAACACCTCCCCCTCTCTTCATCCCAGCACCTGTCCATCAGCACCTTCACATTCATCTCTATCAATATTCATACTGAACCACCCTTCAGTCTTAAGTGCCTGTCAGAAGCTCACAGTCACTACACACAATGACTGGGGGACAAAAGACAAGCATGTGTAGAAGCTGCTGTATGCTGCAGTATAAAATATTCTCTCAGTGACACCTTTTATACAGGTGACTTCTGTGGGTGACCATGTGAAAAGAATGAATATTGCAATAATTCTCACAGCATTATCTTATTGATTTGTTCGATACTAAAGTATTCAAAATGACATCGTCTCCCTGTTGATGCCATCTTATAGTGGAAAAGTATGGCAGTTTGTGTGTCTCAAAAAAAAAGCATTGGTTAATTTGCTGACACATTGCACTGATATAGCTGTGACAGAGTGATGAATAATGTAAATGCTGAATTATCACGCAGCCCCAACATCATCACGTCCATCACTAATTAAAAGCAGCAACTGAAGCAGCAGTTTAGCTTTTCAAATATTTGAGTATCACAGAAGAAGACAGCTGTAAAAAGTCAGTGTGTCTCTCTTTTAGCTGCCGGCATGTTGGCCTTCTTTTGGACCCCACCTTTCAGACTATATAAGTTGTCAAGTTTTGCAAGACGAGGCCCAAAAACACATATTTTTTAACTCCCAGACCACTAACAGTCCACATTTACAGACTATAATCGGCTGAAATATCATGTTGTGTGTATGCCAGACTATGAAAGCTTCATCCTTTGTGTTCATAATTTTATAAGCTGCTACACTTTGAAGATGTAAAACGTCGACCGCTTTCAGTTTGTGATATATTTTATGAAATAAGACCATTCTTCTGCCACATATTTAATGATTACAGCAGAAATACATTTCTTAATTACGAAAGTAACAAAAAGAAAGATGGCTTACATTACATTCATGTGGTAGATGCTGTTGTTAAAAGTGAGTGCATTCAACCTCGACAGAAACAAGAGTTACATGCCATTAACAAACTGTAAGTGCATCACTTTTAAAACTAGCTATACTGTGGAGCTGGCTTTGTACACTATGCACATACGTTTGGCCATACAGTGTTACATTATTTGTTTGGTTTCTTCCTGTGTAAAACATCAAATACTGTTACGATTGGTAAATATTAAGGTGCTGTTTGCTGACATTATTACAGTATTTTGCAGCGCTATTGTTTTTACTGCAACCTCTTGACTTTTTTGTTAAATAGCTCATCAGTCTCAGACCTGTAAGAAGATGAATCTAAAATCTTAAAACCTGTCAAACCCTCAGAAGGATCAACTATAAAGTCTGATGCACATTAATTTAGCTCTACACAGCAGAAGTGTTATGGAGCATCTGACCCCTCTGAATGGAAAAAGTTCCTCAGAAAAAGCATCTCCGAAAAGGGAAATCAAGTGCAGTACATCAGTGGTATTTCTGTATAATACAGGAATATTGAAGGTCTGCAACTGTCAGATCATTTTAATTCATTCTGGTTGTTATTCCAAAATGTTTACAGACTGAACAAAGTAAAGCAGATCTTTTGTATCTTGTGAGCACAGTTGGCAAAGTTGGACTTAAAGCAGGAGAGTAAAAAAGCATTTATTATAGAGATAGTCAGCAGTTTTGTTATAATAGATGTCACTGAGTGTCACGGTTTAATTTTCAATTCATCTGTGAGATATTACTGCTCAGGAGCTCTGGGGAAGCAGAGAGCTCTCCTCATCGCCTGTCAGTGTGGAGGTGTGAAGTGTCTCTGACTCGGAGTGTGTCATCAGGGTAACACCAGGGGCAGTGTCAGTCATCTTCGTCTCATCAGTAGGTTATTAACAATAAGGGAGCTCAGCCAATGAAACAGATTCTTCCTGGTTCTGGATTCATGAGGGAAGTGAGCACTCTGTCTTATTGCTCTTATTTTACCGATGGGGATTGACCTTTGAGTCTTTTCACAAGAGCACAGTGTGTATTTTTAGGTTTTACATGTCAGTATTTTCTTCCCTGAAATTTATTTCAGGTTCGTCAGCAGATTCTTATACATATTGAAAAAAAAAATGCGGAACATTAACGCCTGTGTTTTCTATACGCTGAAGTACAGTTATTGACACTGAAATATTGATGGTACGTCACTTAGATTCTGGAAAACTTTCACTTTAAATTTCACTTCTCTTCTGGACATGTAGGTATTTTTTTCCATGTTTTTTTTATGTTTTTGCATCGTAACAACATTTAAAGAAGGGACCATACCATTGAGTTACCAAATACTAAGCACATATTTTATTGTGCCTAGAATATTTAAAGCCTTTAAGCTTAAAGAACCATCACGCTGGAATCATCTGTCTAACTTATTTAGAACTAATTTCAATTTTGTGTTGGTGAAACTTGTAACAGAGATGTAGTGTGTGGTTTGGGATTGTGGGAGAGCCCTTAAAGCGGATTTATAGTTGAAATACATACATACATGTTTTTTTTCTTTCATATAAAAATCTATTTCTGTGTTATTAAAATCATTTTGAGGCTAAATGAGCCAGATATGTGAGCACAAACTGCAGGCTTAAAATCCCCTCACATTGTGTCGTTATTGTGTCTTAGGAAGCATTAAGAGAAATAGTCGTCATATGTTTAGGGGTCTTTAACCAAAATGTTTAAAAACACCCAGCTAACATGTGCATTCCTCTTCCTTAAGTCCTGGACTGGAGAATGACCGATCCAAACCATCCCATGAACGCTCTGATGCGTCTGAATCAGATCCACCCGGGCCTCCAGTACCGTCTGCTGTCCCAGTCCGGCCCAGTGCATGCTCCAGTCTTCACCATATCTGTGGACATCCAGGGAACCACCTACCAGGCCACCGGGAACTCCAAGAGAACCGCCAAGCTCCAAGTGGCCCTCAAGGTATTCAACTGTAGTATAAACCTACTGACTCCATGGCTACATTACACTTCACATTTGCATGATGGGAACTGTAGTGCCATAACTCAGAACATCTTCATAACAAATGGAAATCAGTAAATCTAAGGCTGACACACCATTTAGCCATCCATTCATGCAGATAGTGACACACTGATGCGTAAAGCTCTTTGAAAATGATGGTATTTGAGCGGCCTTACATAAAAAGATATGCTGAAAGCCTGTCAGTGACGGCAGTGTAAACCAGCCGAGGGTCCAAAGGGTTAAAAACACCACTGCCATTCCTCTCTCTGCTTTTTACTGTCGTTTGTCACTCATTCTGTGCTTCTGAGAGTGTCAGATGATCAAAAACTTGAACATGAACTTAGACAAAGAAACAGTTGAACTGAGCAGAGAGAATGTTCTTTTTGTGACGAAGCTTTTTATTCAGCTTGTTAAGTTTTGACTTCTCACACTTTCACTTTGTCACACACATTTATTCATTCAGTTACACATTCACACGTCAGAGCTGCCCAGTACTGCCAGTCTTTGTGTTGTTGTTGTCGTTGTTGTTGATGGCCACTTTGCAGCCTAACTGCTGCAGCTGTTAGGTGGTTGAGTGCCTTGCTCATGGACAGCTCAGTCACAGATGATGGAAGTGTGATTCATTTACCGTCTGTGGTGATTTCAGGGACTGTCAGGGGCGTTGGAGAAAGTTTACTTTTGTAATAGGATGATGGTCAGCCTGAACGCAGTAGAAACCAGCCTGTTATGTTTACTGAAAGGTAATGGAATCGCTCTGAACGCTGTGTGTGTTTTGTGATGTTGAACATGCTTTTCCCTCCTCAGGCGCTGCAGGCTCTGGGCTTCGTGCTCAGCGGTGACGGAGACGTAGACTCGCTGAGCGCCGATGAGAAGTCAGATGGTGAAGGCAAGAACGACAGGATGTCCACCAGCTCCAGCTCCACCTCCATCACCTCCTCCACAGACACACAGGAGGTAGGGAGCACGCACACGCACACACACACACACACACACACACACAGAAAAACACTGGGATTATTAACACGTACACATGAGGATTAGACTGCCGCACAGACGGACAGTGGCCTTTGGTGAAGTATCGGTGTCACCAACCTGTGATGTAGAGATTCCTCACTGATCACAAGAACACTTCAGTGAGGGTTATTAAAAATTCAGATAATGCTTCAGTTGAAGTGTCATCCTGCAAAAAACACAGGCTGCAAACCCTCAAATAAAGCCGTATAAACATACAAAGAATATGTGCAATAAAGATTAATGTTAGTGTAACGTTTGTAGTTAGTTATCACAGACACACTGGTATCGTTCAACATGTCAGCCTGTAAGTAACTAGAAACACAAATGTCAGAGATACGTTTGAGGTCATTTAGAAACACTGCCCATTACACATTCCCAGACATCCCTGACACGTTTATTTTTACACTGTGAAATGTCACACTCAGTGCATAACTTTACCTTAATAACCAGATTAAAGTCATTTATTTATCACCATCATTTACCAGTTGGGCTTGTACTTTAATAATATTTTTGTGCCTTTTTCATACATTTGTTATTTAGGTAAACTGATTGAGATATTGATGTTTGACTGTACAGCAAGTATCAGTCAGTCAGTCACATTCTGTCAGATATTTGGACTGTACGCAACATTATGGAGGAAACATGATGTGACAGGACTGATAGAAATTTCTTGTCTTACTTTAAGGAAACATGAGCACTCGTGTACATTATTAAATATAAAACAAATATAAAGCCGGTGTCACTGACTCTCTCTCTCCGTCTGTAGTCCAGAGCTCCAGGTCCGATCCTGACAGCGGGAGGTAAAAACCCAGTGATGGAGCTGAATGAGAAACGTCGTGGCCTCAAATACGAGCTGATATCAGAGAGTGGCAGCAGCTACGATAAACGCTTCATCATAGAGGTATGAAAACTCAAACACACACTCACACGCACACTCTCTCTCTC